TGAGTTTTAGAGTATAGAGATATCAAAGGTTTTCAATCTAGATCTTTAATCTAATAATTATCTGTATCTTCTACTTCAATTTCTAAAAGGTCTTCAATTTTAAATGTATTTATTATATTAAAAAGTTAAAAATAAAAAAAGTTATATATAGAAATATTTTAAAAAAATAGATGATGAAATATATATTGTATAGTATCTATAATAAAACATAAAAAAAAGGAATTAAATGATATTTCTTATAAGTTTACAGGTTTTACTTCAAATTTAAAATACTATTTAAATACAATTCATAACATATTTGAAAATGATAAAGTAAATAAAGTAAATATAAATTTATTTGTAATTATTTATTATTTATTTTAATTTAATTAAATTATTTTTAGGAAAAAAATAACAAAAAATTAGTTTAATATTTAATAAAGTAATACCTCATGGAAAATTATAACAATATAAATTAAATTTAGTATTATTTGAATTTATTATTACTGATTTTTAACTATTCAATATTTTAAAAAGTGATGGATTAAAAAATTTTTTTTTTTAAATTTGATTCAGCATTTATTATTTCTTATGATAAAACTATTAAAAATTTAATTACAAAAATTTATAAAGTTAGTGTTAAAAATTTATTATCTCTAATTATTAGATCTTGTAAATTATTTTAATTATAATTGATTTATAGACAGCTAAAGCAAAATAGGATATATAAGAATCACAAGATATTGGTTAAATAAAAATTTTAAATTTTATGATATTTAATTAGTTTTGAAAAAAATTCATATACATATACAGCTGATTCTATTGTCACTTATTTAAAAAAATATATTAAAAATTATAATATTGAAAAAAAAGTAATTTGTGTAATCATTGATAATGGAGGAAATATGAAAGCTGCTGTTAATATTTTAAATGAAAATAATCACAATATTCAAAGATTACTATATATTACAATATATATTACAATTAATAATAAATAACACTTTAAAATTAATGAACAAGTTAAATGATATAGAAAATTGGTTAAGTTTTTTTATTACTTAAATAATCAGAAAGACTTAAAGAAGTATAAAGAGAACTCAGTAAAAATAATAATGAAAAAAATGAAAATTCTAATAATAAAGAATCAAAATAAATATAACAATTATATTTAAAAATATAAATGAAATACAAACTCATTAAAATTTTAAATATAATTATAAAAATAATTACTTAAATTAAAAAAATCAATAATTTATTTAAATGTAATCTTATATTTTGAAGAAAATCGAAATAATAGATTTGATAGACAACTTTAACAAAAATTTATGATATGTGATAAAAAATGGATACTTTAGAAGAATTGTACAAAAATATTTAAATTATTTGATGAAGTAATAACATTTTTAGTAGAGTTAGATATGTAACAATATTATCAATATTACCAATTATCAAAGCATTAAAAGTAATTTTTAAAAAAAATTAAAAGAAAAGTTTAAAATTAATTTTAAAGATTTAGAGGTTAAAGATAATAATAATAAAAATAATGATGATAATAATAATAAATTAATATATTTATTTTAATTTTTATTATTATATTTATATATTAAATATGTATATATATTTTTTATAGAAAATATGGAAGATTTTTATCTGATAATTATATTTCTGAAGATACTATAAGTTCTGATTAAAAAATAGATGAAATTAATATATTAGACATATTAAAATTTAAGAAAGTCTAAAAAAATTAATTATAATGAAAACTCAAAGAAAATAGAAGAATTTTAATCAAATTTTATTGAAACTGAATAAATAATTAAAAGTATTAGAAATAATTATAAAATCACTTAATTTTTATTGAAAAAATCTAATAAAATTATACTTATTTCAACAATATTAGATCAAGATATAAAGATTTTAGTTTTTTTGTTTAATATTGAAATTCAATTAAAAATTAAAATTAAAATACAAAGTTTATATGAAAATTTAAATATGAATTAAACTTAAGTAATGATTCCTTTAAAATGCAAACAAATAAACAAAAATTATCTGATGATTCAATCTTTAATACACTTTTTAGAAGTGAAGTTTAACAATATAATAATAAAATGAATGAGGTAAATAATTATTTTAATGAAGGAATAGTAAGTCCTAATATTAATCTTTTTATATAGTAGAATTATAATAAACAAAGATATCCTATATTATCAATAATAGCACGTAAATATTTATCTATTCCAGCAATATCAATTCTAAGTGAAAGATTTTTTTCAGATGCTGGAAATATTATGAATAATAAATGTATAACTTTAAGTTTAAAATTTTTCAAGAAATTCTTTTTATTAAAAGAAATCTAAAATATATAGATATGTTTACTTTTCTTGCTAATAAAGTAAATACAATATTATTAAATTATTATAATTATAATTTAGAAATAAATGTATTATATATTTATTATCTATATTTATAAATAATTTTAAAAATTAAAAAATTTTGTTTTAATTTAATACTGTTATAGAGTATTATTAAAACTATAGTTTTAATAAATTTTTAGTTATAAATTATTTCTAAAATAATTTTAAATAAAAATTTATTGATAAAAATTTGATAAATTGGAAATTGAGACATGAGGTGTCCTAAGTAAACTATTGCCTTAAATTAAAATTGGAGCAAATTTGAAACTGGGAAAGTAATAGACAAGTTGACTATTGTCTCAATTTAAATAAGATAAATTGAAAACTAAGAATGCAGTGGCTATTGCCCAAATTTAAAAATGAGATGAAATGTGGTGTTTCAAATTATAATATTTTTGCTTTATAAATTAAAATCATTGTTAAATTTACTAAATAATTAAAATAATATTTTATGCAAATTTGCTAGAAAGTAATTTTCTTTATTTAATATTTAATTAAAATATAAAAGCTATTTTTGAAATTTAATTATAATTTATTAATTCCCTTCCATAATAATGAAATAAAATGATAAATTTACTTTAAACGAAAAGAAGACTAGGGGCGAAAATAAGGGTTAAAGTATCGTATTGTCGAACAAAAAAAGCCACAATTAATCATTAAGGCATTTGATTTATTATAGCTAAGTTCGGGCGTTAGAGATGAAATTTAAATTTGGACTATCCGAAATTGAAATTTCGGTTCTGGGCAAAATGGATCTGCCCCAATTTAAAGTTGGGGCAGATCGCAACTTGGGGCACAACATGACTAATAACGACATAATTTCTTGAAAAAAGTTGGAAATCAAAGTTATGACTATATGGGACCTTTGCAATAGGAAGGGGGGAAACTGCCGGAAAAAATCAATTTTACTTTTATATGCCAAATATGATTTTTAAGTCAAAATATGTTCAGATTTAGCATTAACTCAATTTTTATTTTTTCCAGCCGTTTCCCCCTTTTCTATTGCAAAGGTCCCATATGTGTTTTATTTTTTGGTATAATTATCGATGTTTAAAATGCAATTCAACACGTTTTTAATCATCTTCAATAGAAAAAAAAATCTGGTGTTTTTAATTGTTGACCTCCTAGTTAATGGAATGGAGTTAAGCATTTATTAGGATTCAGAGGCCCTTGTCATTAAAAATTTTTATCTTATGCCACATATAATTATGAAGTTGAAAAGCTCCAAGATGTAAAATAATTCATGTAATTTGAGAAGATACATATATATTCATAAAAATTGGAAAATTTCAATAATGATGTGGAATTGCGCGCTTTGCAAAGAAATTGAGGAAACTAAAAAAGATATAAATTTAACTGTTTATGTTATATATAATTTTTTAGTAAATAATCATTAACTCAAAGAAAAAAAAAATTTTTTTTTTTTAGAGTTTCCTCCTTTCTATTGAAAACCGCCCATAAGTAACTTAAAACATATTATGGGATAGGTTATTTTTATGTTAAAATATAATTTTCAATTTACACAAAAATATATAGTTGAAACTTTACAAATCTAATGCCACTAAATGTTACAGTATCTTTCAAACTGTCGCAACAAAACATTACAAGGAGTGTTTAAGTCTAATTTTCATTGCTAGAATTTTTAAAATATATGCATATGCCTTACACTTTGTATGAATGAAAGATTCAATTTATATCTCTTTATTTCTTACATGACAAAAACAACTTTTTGAAATTTTGTTTCTGAAAATATTTTCATAATATCTGTTATATCGAAAATAAAAATGATAAAATATTTTTAGAAATGATAAAGGGTCGAGTAATCCAAAAAATAGTTTTGCGTGGGTTAGTATTATTTTTTTTTCTTTGGAATTACGCCTTTTCTTTCTTTAGGTTTCTCTTTCGTGTTGGATTTCTTCTACAAGTATTAGGTAATTATTTTTTTATTTTGGGTTGATTGATGTTTTTTCACCTTTGAAACTTCAGACTGCCACGATAGATAATTTGATTTTCCATCTGATAGGTATGTTTTAGTTCCTTACTTTGCTTTAATTATAATTATTTTGTTAAATTGGTTTTTTTAATTCAATTTTTTTTTTTTTTTAGACGATTGCTAATGGCGCGAATAAAAATAATATTTAATATATCTGTTATATTATTATCTTAAAGTCAGATTAGAACTTTATAATCGTTCGATAGTTCGACTTTGTTATCAAGGGAAAAGGCCTAATTGACTTATAGTTAGCAAATTCTATTCACAGTACACGATTAACTTGTGTAATTGTTTATCATAGTTAGATTTTAAGTTATTTTCGTTAATTCCTTCCATTGTATTAGTTCATCATTTTGAAAATTTTGTAGAATTGTTGTAATGTTGAAATTTCCACCAAAAAATAAGTTTCTAATGAATTTTCGATCATTCTCAATTCAGAAAGCAGTTAACTTTACTTGGTAAGACAAGAATCGGTAGATCCTTTTTAAGTTATCCGGAGCAGGCTAGATTATTTAAGGGAATTATTTACGAGGGCTGAGCAAAAGTGAGATTTCTATTGGTGCAAGAAAAGCAATAACCATCCGAACAAATTAAATAAAAAATTTCAATCAAAAATGGTTTTAAAAAATAATTTGTAAAAAATCCTTAAAAGACTTGGAAACGAAAATTAAGGAGTTAGAGCAAAGAAACGAAGAGTTACGTTCACAATTCAAATATTTAGAAGAAAGGGATAGAGAACGAGAAGAAACCAAATACAAGCAAGAAATGAATAATTTGGAAGAAAAGGGTAAAGATGAAACCAAAGCAAAGCAAGAAATTATTAATAATTTAGAAGAAAAGATTAGAGAACGAGAAGAAGAATCCAAAGAAAAGCAAGAAATTATTAATGAATTAGAAAAGAGAATCAGAAATCTTGAATTAATTATTTACGATGATACTATTGATAGTTTGACTATTACAGATACTAAGGATGACATATTGTACACCTTAGGCGGATTGCAAAGATATCGAAAATTGACAAAATTGGATTGTAGAAATTCTCAAATAACAAGCTTACCAACATTACCCAATTCCTTAACATTTCTTGATTGCTCTAATTCTCAAATAACTATCCTACCAACATTACCCATTTCCTTAAAGATACTCAAATGTTATTGGACTGAAATTAATAGCTTACCAACATTACCCAACTCCTTAACGGTACTTGATTGCTCTTATACTCTAATAACTACCCTACCAACTTTACCCAACTCCTTAACGGTACTTGATTGCTCTTATACTCTAATAACTACCCTACCAACTTTACCCAATTCTTTAACTTATCTTAATTGCTCTAATACTCCAATAACTATCCTACCAACATTATCCAACTCCTTAACGGAACTTTATTGCAATGAAACTTCAATTACTATCCTACCAACATTGCCCAACTCCTTAACGATTCTCAAATGTCATAGCACTAAAATAAATAACTTACCAACAATATCAAACTCCTTAACGGTACTCAGATGTTTTTGGACTGAAATAAATAACTTACCAACTTTACCAAACTCCTTAACGGAACTTAATTGCTCTGGTACTCCAATAACTATACTACCAACATTACCCAATTCCTTAACGAAACTTTATTGCAATGATACTTCAATAACTATCCTACCAACATTGCCCAACTCCTTAACTGTACTCAAATGTTATAACACTAAAATAAATAGCTTACCAACATTACCAAACTCCTTAAGGGAACTTTATTGCTCTGGTACTCTAATAACTATCCTACCAACATTACCCAACTCCTTAATGGTACTCAGATGTTTTTGGACTGAAATAAATAGCTTACCAACTTTACCAAGCTCCTTAACGGAACTTAATTGCTCTGGTACTCCATTAACTATCCTACCAACATTACCCAACTCCTTAACGAAACTTTATTGCTCTGGTACTCCAATAACTATCCTACCAACATTACCCAATTCCTTAGCAGTATTCTGGTGTAATAGCACTAAAATAAATAGTTTACCAATTTTGCCCAACTCCTTAACGGAACTTAATTGCTCTGGTACTCCAATAACTATCCTACCAACTTTACCCAACTCCTTAAAGAAACTTTATTGTTATAAGACTAAAATAAATAACTTACCAGCATTACCAAACTCTTTAACGAAACTTGACTGTTCCGATACTCTAATATCTATCTTACCAACTTTACCCAACTCTTTAACAGAACTTTGGTGTATACATACTTCAATAACTAGCTTACAAAATTTTCCCAATTCCTTAACGAAAATTTTCCCGAATATTAAATCACAAACAACCATCCTACCAATTTCTTAACAAACTTATTCACTATTTTCGTTCTAAATAATAAAACGATCAATTTTTTTGGTTCAAACAGTTATTTATTAATTATGTAAAAAAAATAATTATAAGTTTGTATCGTAACATCAAAAATAATTTAAATTACAACAAAATTTTTAAATTCAGATGTATAATCAGAGAAAAGATATTAATTTAAAAAACTTGTAGAAATACAATCAATCTTTAGATTTGCCTTTATTACTACAAATTCCAACACTCTGAAAATATTAACCTTTGTTCTAATATAAGTTATAATATTTTAATTCCATATATAAGTCTAATATTATCCTACATAAAGCTCCTGTTTGTTCAACATTATATAATTTTAAATTATTTTATTTCGCATATGTATTAGTTTTAATAATCCAGCTATTCAATTACTTTTTCATTAAAAAGAATAAAAGTATATCATAGTTGATTATTTTATAAAAAAATAAATTATCAAAAAGTAAAAGCTCAAACCATTTATATATACTGTTCTTGCATCCCAATTTTTAAGCTGTAAAATTACATTTATGGTAAAAATGTTTCAATAAAAATTCCAAAAGAATTTTTATTGATTTGAAAATAAAAAAGGTCAAAAATACAGCATTTCCTAAAATAAGATAGATAAAAATTTACTAAAAATAAACGTGTATATAATAATGAGTGAAACTATAAACATTACTGATATAGATGTTAAAATTCTAAAAAATGAAAGACATTACAAAGTAAACTTTTTATCAAAAAACTTTTTAGAGAAAAATTCTTTACCAAAACATAAGCTTTCAAGAGCTCATCACAAAATTTGTTGTCTTAATTATTCATATGTATTCTTTTACATTTTTTTGAAAGAAAAAATAGTATATTATGTACAGACCTCACTAAAAGTCTCCAGACGCCATCTTTTAAAGGCTTTTTTTGTACTGATTATGTTATGTATCTATATAAAATTGCAGCTATATAATGTTTCAGACATTGTTTAACTGAATCAAACTAAATAAATATATGTTTAATTTGTTTATTTTGATTTTAAATCAAAATAAAATTTTATCTTTTTAAAACAATAAAAATGTTTAAAGAATTAACAATAGAATAATGCGGTGGTATAATTTTTTATCATTAATATGATGACAGTTATTGAACTATCGCAACTATCAGTTATAGAAAGTTAACAGTTTTTGACACTTTAAAAAGAATGGATGATACCGGATCTATTAATTTAAAGTCTTATTATGATTGACCACCTTTAATTAAAAATTTAAGGTAAAGCCAACTTAGCGAATTGTTACTAATGATAAAGAAAAAATCATCACTTATGCATTGCAGAAGTATAATAACTCTGACAAAAAAGACCAGCCAAGATGTTTCAACTTGCACTATTGGTCAGATATTTTATGCAGCTGGGTTAAACAATTGTATTGCTTAATGAAAGCCTTTAATCACACTAGTAAATGTTGAGATACATCTTACATAGTGTTTAGAATACGAAAAATGAACAAAGGATGATTGGTCAAAGATCATATGAAGTGATGAATCTACCTTTTCACAATTCTAATAAAGGTGTTGTAGTCGAAAATAGCATAAACCTCATGAAAAATGGAACACTTCTTGTATTTCTGCCATAGTAAAATATAGCCCTAGCTGAATATTTTAAGGGTACTTTTAAAGATGAAGCTTAGAATTAATTGTTCCATTATCTGAAACAGTCACTAGTATTACATATATCACTATTCTTCGCAAGCATGTCATACTAACTATACAATGTATATTTTCAAACTGTGATTTTATATTCTAAGAGGATAATGCTCACTCTCACATAACAAAACTTGCAAAGAAGTTTCATGTAGAAAATGGTCTGCGTGTACTTTCATGACTTATTCAAAGTCCAGATCTCAATCCAATTGAGAATATATGGTTTGAAGTCAAGAAAAGCATTTTTAAAAGAAAAAATTTACTTTTAATCTTGTTCAACTCAATCAACATGTTATAAGGTTATGAAAATAAATTCCAATACAAACTATTGAAAATTTGGTCGATAGTATATCACAACGAATTAGGCTATAATTGAAGCAAATGGAGGACTGACTAAATACTAATTATTTAGTACTTAATATATAGCATATTGTACTTTAATAAATATTTTAATAAATATTTTTTAATAAAATTTAAAAATTCCAAGTTTTATATTAAGCCAAAAAATGTCCAGAAACTTTTGCAAGAATCTGTAAGTTTTTTATATCTTTTTTATTTAAAAATATTTTAGAAGTCATAAAATATGACTTCATAAAATTGATGATTCAAATATAATAAATTTTAGTATTACTTAAAATATCATCATCCTAATAAAAATCCAAAAAAGTAAAGTATTTAATAAATAAAGAATAAAGCAAATTAGATGAGTTTTTGAATATAAAGAAAATATTAACTAATATACATTATATTATAAACTAATTTTTTTTATATTTATCTTTATTAATTTATATTTGATATTTTTTATATTTATATAAAATGACTTTTATAAATTTATTACCAAATGAATAATTACTAATGATCAATTATTCATAATACTTAAAAATAAGTATTTTCAACAAATAATAAAATTTTTATCAAATATATTAATTATTTTAGCAGATAAATTAAAAAAATATAATAGAAATTTTTGAAAAGGAGTAAATAAAAATAAAGAAATTTTTTCAAATAAGTTTTAAATATTATTACATTGGTTTTGTAACTTCAAATAAAATCTTAAAAGGGTAAATAAACTAAGACAGTTACTTAAGGAATTATAGATGAGGATTCACAATAATGTCAAAGAATTATTTTCAATATTAAACATATAAGTTGATTGCTAGAAAAATCAGGTTCTGAGAATTTTTTAGCAAAATTGAGATTTTTATTGCATTTTAGTTTTTGATATTATTAGATCAAAATGTATTAAACTCTTAATTTTAGTCAAAAATTTCTCAGAACTTGATTTTCTTAGAAATACTCCTATATGAGATAAATACAAATAAACACAAGATAACTCAAAGATATTTCAGAGATTATGCTTTAGGAACTCTAAATCAATATAACAAATCAATATAATATTATATAATAAATTTACTAACAATAATTAAAGGGATTGCACAAACGCAAAGAATCACGAATAATTTATAACAGTTTCAAAAGATTTGCAAAGGATAAGTTTTATACTTTATTAATTATACTTCTTTATTGATAGAATGCATAAGTTCAGCATCTAAAGATTAACATCTCATCAGTACTAAGACTTAAAGAAAATACAGAAATATTTATATACGTTGAATAAATAATAAAATAAACTAAACTAAATATATCAAAAGAAATAAAGTTGTTATTTTGCTAGGAAATAAAGTTGCTATGTCAATAAAATTGCCAGATCTACAAATAACTAAATGGACATCTATAATCTACATGATTATCAAAAACAATAAAATTGACATCTAAAAATTTGCATAATTGATTAACAGCAATAAAATAGACAAAATGATCTTCATAAAAGATCTACATAACAATAAAATTGACTTTATATTCCACTAATTAAATCTATCTAAAATTT